TAACTACTCATTCATGGTTACAAGATGAATTATGGATTATAATTTCCCCCTTGTTTAGGGTATCATGCAGAATTTTGCACTGTTCTTCACCTCATTTTGCAAGGCAGGTTTGTTTTCTCAGCTTTATGTATATCTGTGATTGTATGTTGCAAGTATATATTCATGAAATATCATGTGATCAGGTGAAATAATATGACCTAGTTTGGGATTCTTTATGCTTTCTCAGCTTTATGTCTATTTGTCATGGGAAGTCACATTGAAGACTTTTGGTGGTGACCTAGAGTTTGTTCTCCATTGGATTTGTGGCTTTGAGTTTGTGTTACAATCAACTCCAATATATAATTAAAACATAATTTGTTATCTTGTACAAGGGTCTTTTTAGAGGTCTTTCTTCAAGAAGAAGGTTTTTAGGAATTTTTTTAACTTTATATGTTATTTAATTTTTATTTATCATAATTATTTATGATTTAAATTTTAATATTTTAAATAAATTATTAATAAATAAAAATAATTTTGTATTACAATATAGATTATTTATCATAAATCTAAAATATTATTTATATATTTAAAAAAAACTTATTTATTCAAGTTAATAGAAAATATATATTATATATATTCAAACATAATATTTATTTATCTAAACAGAGTATTTTAAATTTTAATTATATAATAAATATTTAACTTATATATAATAATTATTTAACTCATATATTATGTATGTTAAAATACTAGTAAAAGTAATAAATATTTTTAAGAAAATGGAAACGAAAGTTTATTATATTTAAATATAATTGCATCCTCTGGATTTTTTAACCTGCCATCAAATTAATTTCAAAGTTGGTCATATATATGATGTCTATTCGTAATATCATAATCGAACTTCTCAACAAATATCTGCAACAAAAATTAGTTAGTGAGATATTAAAAGTAGAAAATGATTATAAAATTAAAGTAACTCACGTTAATTTTTATAAAATTTAACTAATTGTATGGAAAGATTACACGTATATAATTAAATTCAAGTTATTAAATTGTCTAAGTACTGTAAAAAATTAAAAATAAATAAAAAATTGTGTAAGTTTCCAAATTTAACATAGGACGTGTTAATGTAGAAAATTTAGGGTTTTGTTTATGAGAGTGGCTGAGCCAGGTCTATTTTTTCATATTTTATTGTATAATTGACTTCAAACGCATATACGAGGGAGGTCCCTGGTCCTTCGACAACAACTTGCTTCTGCTCAACCGTCTACATGAGCGAGAAATTCCAAAAGCTATACCGCTGAACCATGCAGCATTCTGGATCCAGATCCATAACCTACATGCTGGTTTTATGTCTGTTATTGTGGGAGAGCGACTAGGTAACGTTCCTGGAAATTTTGTTGAGTACAACGAAAAAAATAATTCTACCTCCTGGAGAGCGAGCCTACATGTGTATTCGTGTTCAATTAAACGTTAGAATACCATTAAATAAAGAGAAGAAGTTCAGAAAAGTAGGAGAATGGGTAATAGCCACATTTACATATGAAAGAATGGAGCCTTTCTGTTACTTGCGTGGGATCATGGGACACAATGACCAATTCTGTGATAGACAGATTTGCATGCATGAGGGTTTACAACGCCCATTTTCATGGACATCTTTGGAAGTATAAAGAACATTTTGATATATAAAGTTACCAAATAATGTAGGATTTCTTTTAAAATAGACACCTATATCTTACACATATGCAACACAAACGACTTTGGAGGCACAAGATGGCTAAGAGAAGATACCGGTGAAACTGTTTGGAATGACGATCTGCATCCTAGAATTAGGGACGTTGGCAAGCAGGGTGCAGACGGTGAGAGTGAGTTGCACCCGAACAAAATCTTTGAGGGAACTAATGAAAAGATCATTATATTGAGCGACAAAAAGAGATGCATGAACTCATCTCATGCACCAACGACAGACCGGGAGGAGGTCAATGCAGCTACCACCTCCATAGTCATGGAAACCCAAGAACTAAATTTTTTTAAAGGCTGGCCCTGGCACCCAGGGCTGCCAGGGATTATGAGTGTTGTCAATTGAAACTGTCGTCGGGTAGGTCAACCATGTGCAATCCCTATCATTCGTGACCTTGTCAGGACTTACAAAAGCCTAATATTTTGTTTCTTAGTGAAACCTTTGCTTATAAGAATCGTATCGAAGTGATCAGGGTGGCTCTTGGTTTCCAATCAGTCTTTGTGGTGGATCCGGATGGTAGAAGTGGAGGACTCACTTTATTTTGGAATGATAGGTACAAGGTTGATATTACATTGTATGGCTCGAATTTTATTAATGCTGAGATAGTCAAGACTCGAGAAACACCTGGAGGCTCACTGGCTACTACGGTTTCCCTGAAAGGTCGAAAAGAAAGGAAGCCTGGGACCAACTTAAATACCTTGCATCTATTTCTAATATACCTTGGTGTATTATAGGCGATTTCAATGATCTCTTGGCCGCCGAGGAAAAACCAGCTGGTGGATTATCTCACCCCCAGTGGCTCATCATTTCTGGTTTCAGACAAACTATATTAGACTGGACTGGAGGATATCAATCTAGAAGGTTATAAGTTTACTTGGGTTTGACAAAGAACGCAGGAAGGTATTATTGAGGAAAGATTGGATAGGGCTATGATTAATACTAGCTGGAGAGACCGGTTGCCAAATCGTACCCTTAATATGGTGTTGCGGCCATGTCCGACCATAGTCTTAAAATTAAAATTGTGGATCGAGCCTAATTCAACCCACAATGATAAGTGATCATTTTTAATGATCTAGGATTAACGGAACTTGAGTTTTTTTTTCTCAATACACCCATGTCCATGGTGTATATATCAATAGTAGGTGACTCATTTAAAGTGGATCTAGATAACTCTGATATCATCTTAGAATTGTAGATTAAACCTAACTCAACTCTACAAAACCAGCTTTTCACTTATATATTATTCAATTACTTAATTTTTAGTCATATAAGACTTAGTTTTTCTTAATATATAACTCGTTGTGGCTCAAACTAGCGGAGCCGCTAACCGTTAAGAAATCCTATATCTTTAGGTTAATTTGAACACGCTTGGCTTCTTCAGCCAGATATTAAAAAGATTGTTTCTAATAGTTAGATGTCGAGGGACCATATTCTTGTGTGTTAGATAAGATCCAACGTTGCGGGGTTAGGCTTAGAGAGTCGGGTAGGAATAAAATGAATAAAAGGAACCGTGAAGTTGATAGTATTAGGAATGATACGCTGGATTGCAGATCTCATACTGCAAATAACTTGATTAGATATATGAGATTACAACACACCCTTAGCTTCAAGCTTACTTAGATTGAAGTTTATTGGAAACAGAGAGCCAAACAATTTTGGTGCATTAATTAATACAATATAAAGAGTTTTTAACAACGTACATTAGAAGAAAATATTATATGATTATGTATAAATGTTACTAATTTGTATTTATAACATATTATCAAATATTATATATAGTCTATATTGTTAAAGATTTTTAATAATATTTTTATACAATTAGATAATATTTTTTAAATATTTTTAAAATGATATTTTTATAACATTTTAATGATATTACTTATTTTTTATTAACTTTATAAATAATAATTAGTTTTAATATAAATATTGTTATTAATTATTAAATTTTATGTCTCCTAAATTCTTACAAGTTCTTTAAGTGAAGGTTAAAAATATTCTTAATTAGTCACCATTAATTAAATATTATATATCAAAATTCATTTATCTCGTCATAAGAAGTGCTTTATATTATCAAGGATCTTGAGAGACCAAATCCAAGACATGTTGTTGTTGGTCCTACTTTGAACATTGTTGTTTCTATAGAGCCATTTATATGCAGTGTTGGCAGTGTAATCCCCGGTGGGAGAGGCATTCCAGAATATTAATTTTGTCTCTAGTGTTTTCATGAATGAAGGTACTACAAAGGATGTCCTTGATTTCCTTATTTAAAGGGGTAGCTAAAGCATTCCAATTCCATATTCCCTCATTATAAATGTCATGCAACTTCAATTAGGAGTCTTGGATATGGACATAGTCCACAAGGTTGCAAAGTGGTCCCTGTCACTACTAGAAAAGTATTGTTCTACATCATTATATCTATATCGGTTCCTCTATAAATGATGTAAATAAGAAATGTGGTGATAATTTTGTAAATAAATAGAAGATGTAAACATATTTACATCGATTTTGTGGAGAAACAATGTAGATATGAAAAATTATACATCTGTTCTGTTGTTGACCGATGTAGAAATGGAATCACAAAATTATTCTACATCGGGTTTTGCATTTGACCGATGTAGAAGTAAAGCCAAATTTTTGCGGCATCTGAGCCCTCTCGACACAACACTCTTGTGGGCACTCTCGCGGGCTCTAGTGCTGATCTTCAACTCACAAAATTGAACCCTCTGGACACAACGTGTCTCGCGACATTCAACACACACGCAACTGACCCTTCTCAACACAACACTCTTGCGGGCTCTTCTGGTGTTCCAAATCCACAAACGGTCTTAGAGGAGCTCTCTCGAGTGGTGCTCCAAATCCACAAACGCTCCCAGAGGAGCTGTCTCAAAATGTGGTAGTGCTCTTGCGCGAGTTCTTCGCCAAAGGGTAAACTAGAAGATTTGTAAATTTACTTGAAAACTATTTTGGGATTTTTTTATAATTTTGCAAGGTGCTCACATTTGCCCAAATTTCTTCCGGCAAATTTTTTCCACCTCGTCCAGGTTCAAATCGAAGACCCCCTTGGAAGATCAATGGTACAAATAAATCGAGTTCACATCATCAAGAGGAACAGGCAAGTCGTTGTTGACTACAACAGTTTGATTCAAAACCAATCCATGATGGCACAAAATCTTCACATTTTAAAGGAGGATTAATTTAGATTTCAATGAGTTGTTGTTGTTGTTATATTTACTAAATATTTCTCCTACTCTTGTTTCAGTTTTGAAAACAACAGGTTTAGTGGTCTCGAGCTAAAAGGACTTGTTCCATATGATTTTGGGTGCTAAAGAAAGCTAGAAATAACATATATATCATCTAAGAAGACTGCAATGAATAGGCTTAGTTAATTTACGTAGGGAAATGCTGGTGTTATTTGCATATCAATATTTCCTGACCATCTTCATTGGGATAGTAAGTTGGAATCTATTTGTTGTGTTTAAATATTTAATTGAGTCTCAGGTCTAATGGTTTTATATTTTAGGTTGAGGTGGCTTTTCTTGTCAAGAACAATCTTGCTTTCAAGCATCTAGTTCTCACAATGGAAGAAGCGTTGGTTAACTTTCTCCAAGATGATGACACAAGGTAACATTTATGAAAGAGTTGACGTGAGTATTAGTCCAAGTTTTAGTTAGTAGAACTACTAGTGTTGTACTTGTACTTGCCTTGAACATGGTCAAAGACAAATATGAACATTTAATGGATAGTTGTACTTTTTCTCTTAGGACATGGAAGGGCTAACTTTAAACAAATTATGTTTTTCTCTAGACTTCTCTACGAAACTAGCTGAAGTTGGAAATTCCTGTTTACTTACCATGTATTTGTGGCTCCTAAAAGAAAAGAAAGCAGTTTAGTAATATAAATTCTAAAATACATTGTTGCATTCTAAGAAAGCAATTTACTTCCCATGTACTTGTGTTAAATAGTTGTTTTACTTTGGTTGGAAGTTTTGTTTCCCCTGGTTGTTAGGTTCCATATTTTTCTTATTTTATTATAAAAAGAAAGTGATGTAAGAATGTTATGAGAAAAAAAAATGTATGTAAATAACATTGTATTGATGTATGCTTGACCCAAATATGAATCTAAAAATGTCAACACTTGCATGTCTATGTATCATTTATCTAATGGCATGATTGTACCACCAATTTTTGATTGCTAGTAGCATGGTACAGTTTTGTAGTAAGATATAAGTGAAATAAAAACTAAAATATGTGTCACTACTCAAAATTGGACCCCTGATAGGAGTGCAACACATTTGAATCTGACAAGATTTATTACAAAATCAAATAAAAGCATTAATTAGGAAATATTTGATACAAAATTTAAGGATAAACTTGCATCAATATTATTGGGCCTTACTAAATTTACTGTGTGGTGACAAAGATCTAATGTGCCATATGTCTTTTACATTGTTAGTGATTATTGGAATCAATAATTTTTCTTTTTTTATTAATTATTTCACATTGAGACTCAAAATCATTTTAGGGTGACTTAGGATATCTCTATCTCAATCTGTACTCAAGAAACGAAAAGTGTTCTAATTGTGCCCACTTTGCAATAAAAGGAGGTTGCAGGAAAGATACTTGCATGCATTATGTGATGTATAATATTGTTTTATTTATGCCTTGTTTAACCTTGGTTCTTTTCCTATTTAAAAAGAATATGCAGTAAATGAAGGGGAAATAGAGTAAACTAATTGATATTTATATAGTGTTGATTAAGTTAGATGGGGAATAGTTTCATCTTTCATGGTTGGGTTTCAGACAGTGGATGGTTAAACAAAGTAAATGAAGTTGGGTTGTCCTAGTCAACTAGACTATTCTTATTTTTGTATTCAAATTTATATACCACCTATAAAGAATGACATAAAATTAAGAGAGAAAGGATAGTACTATATTCAAGATTCAATGAGCAGCTATAGATAAGAATTTGATCTTACTATTTTATATCACTTAATTAAACCTTAGTCCTTTTCTTCTAATTGTATAATTTATTTTCTTTTTCCAAAATAAAATAAACTAAGTAGTTAAAACTTGTTTATCATGTTTTGGTTATTAATTTTTCATCAAACTATTCACTTAAATTGCTTAGTCAATTATTTGTTGTTGTTTCACTAAGAAGTTTTTAATTCTCTTTACAACATCTAACTTTGTACATGGGGGTGAGGGGTTGGTTTCTATGTGCCTTAGTTTCATAAATGTTGTTGAGGAAAGTACGAATTGGTTGGTGCAATGTGTGTTATTGTTTTTGACCTTTCCCTTCAATGTTTGGAGGCATCACAATTTTTTATTTAAGGGTTACATTTTTGTGTCTCTGTATGTGTGTGATGTTAATACTAAATATATAATAATTTCTCTTATTTTGCTTGAAGGATGTGATTTGGTTAATACTCTCATAGAGATATGGCTTTGGCAGCTATGAATGGACTTAATGGAACCTATACAATGAGAGTAAGAATAAAAGTCTGCATTCTTTTTCCTTTTAATAATTCTCCTTAAGAAAACATTTCGGTTAATCTTGTTGATCCTAATTTTTTACTCTAACAAGTCATTTTTTCTTTCTTGTCACTTATATACTTTTGTTAACCATTACTAAGTTTGAACAAGTTTTTTGAATTATTAAACAAGTTAAATTGTATATCCACTCTACTCAAGCAAGACAATTGAGTAGAATAGTACACCATACAATTTCTGTATGAGATTTATTTATATATATATATATATATATATATATTTATATATTTATATATGTGTGTGTGTGTTTATTACAGATAATCAGAAAGAATCTAAAAAATAAACTAACCAATTTTTTTTTTAAAATGCAATCTACATCGATTGTTGATAAAATCAATGTAGATTTATTCATAAATCTACATCGTTTTTACTGACAACCAATGTAGATTTATGCACATATCTACATCAGTTTTGCAAACAATCGATGTAGATATGTGCATAAATCTACATCAGTTTCAAAATCGATGTAGAAGTGTATATATTTCTAATTTGCCCTATTATACATCGATTTTAGAACTGATGTAGATTATGCATCCTGTAGTAGTGTGTGTAGCCCACCTATGAAACTAAATGGATAAGTTTCCTTCTCCAACTCGAAATATAGAGCCTGGTTCTAGAATCTTAGTGGCTTTGGTAATGGATTGCAAAGTATAAGAACTCCCTTGGTAGTCTCTCATTCGAAGTACAAATTCACCCTTAAGGTATTTGGATTCTAATGATTTAGTCCAAAGATTTTGTTTCTCTCCAATAAGGTCCCATACATGTTTCCCTAGAAGAGCCGTATTCACATCTTTGGTTGGCCGAATACCAAGGCCTCCATCTTTCTTAGATTTTGTCACCACTTCCCAATTGGCCCAGTGTTTGTGATGACCACCCCATATAAAGGTTCTTATGCATTTGTCGATATCATCACAAACACTTTGTGGGAGCCAGAGGTTGTGCATGATATAATTTGGTATGGTGTTCATAATTGAGGATGCAAGAACAACTCTACCTGCTTTGCTAATAAGGCTCATTTTCCATCCCGCCAATCGAGAATGCAATTTATCAAAAATGAATTTGAAATCAGCTTTTTTGATTTTTCCTATTAAAATTGGGAAACCAAGATATTTATCAATATCTATAGTAGGGGAAAATATATAGATGTTTCTAAACTTGTTAATCTTGGTACAATGGATATTTCTTGATGTGTAGAATTTTGTCTTTTGGAGGTTGACTTGTAATCCTAAGGCATGGCCAAAATCATTCAAAATTTGTGTTACTAGTCTAACCTGTGTGGATTTTGCTTTGGTGAAGAGTAAGCAATCATCAGCGGAGAACAAATGTGAAATAGATGGACCCTTTCTTGAAATTTGGATAGGTTTCCAACTATTATCTTGAACTCTCTCATGGATTAGAATTGCAAGTTTCTCCATGCATAAACACTACAAGAAAACTCTGTTTTAGAGACAAAATTTTTAGTCTCTAAATTAACAAAATCAGTTACTAAATCAATAAGTGACTAAATTATATACCAATTATAGAAAGTAACTAAACCACTGGTTGCTAATTTTAGCTACCAATCTAAAGTCTGATTTAAAAACTAATTTAATGACCAATTTTTTTATGACCGATTTTGCGACTAATTTTATAATGACCAACTTAGTAACTTATTCTACAATGACCAATTTATTGACCAATTTTTAATGACCATCTCATTGACCAATTTTATAGCGACTGTTTTAATTACCAATATTATAGTAACCAATTTAGATACCAATTTTGATAACAACTAATTTAGTAACCTATTTTATAATGACTAACTTAGCAACTTATTTTGTAATAATCAACTTAGTGACTGATATAATAACTGATTCTAAAGTAACTATTTTAGTGACCAAATTTTAAAATAACAGAATTAGTGACCCATTTTTCAATGACTCAAAGTGACTGATATAATAAAAAAAAAAGTAGTCACTAAAATTTTTCCTTATTTATCTTTCTTATTTATGTCATTTTCTTTCATATTTATTATCTTCTTTATTCAAATTCACCATATATGTAACTTCAATTATTTTTCTACTAAAACATAATAATTATTTAAGTATAATATTAATTATTTATTTACTTCACATATTTATTCTATGTTAAACTATTATGCAAAAAGTCAACATACACTATATAATAACATGAAAATTAAGTAATTAAATTTTTTAATTTTTTAAAACTACACATAATATCACATAGGTCAAACATTTTAATATATCATAACCCAGTGACATATGTCTAGGGAAAGTTGCAAAATCAAATAAAATTAGATTTTAAGTCGTTGTGGGCACAATTTAACACTGAGGCCGAAATCATGTTTAAAATTATAAAATTAATTAATCACTGCAGGATACTTTCTTGTCAAATTTAAAAGCTCTGCACCCTCACTTGTGCATTACAGCAGCCTATGGCAATATATATTACCTACCAAGTTTCTAGATATTCCGTCATTCGGTTAGTCACTGCCACCTCCAATGCAAACTAACATACTTCACATTGCCAACATCTATTATGCAATACTAATTCTCTCGTTCCATAAACTTATCCAAAAATTCTTTTAGGAAAAAAAATGAAATAAACTTCTCCGTAAGTTTAAATTAACTTATGTATAAATTAAAAACAAGTGTATGAAGAAGTTACACGAGAGAACTTATACAAATTAGCTTAGAACTTGGTTGGGTAAATTTTTTCAAAAGTACTTCTAGAAGAGATAAAAGAAATAAGTTTCTCCATGAACTAAAATTGGCTTGTGCATAATCTAATCCCTCTTTCAAATATTCACCCTAGCCTGTTGCCATTGTACCGTGGTGCTGCTCCTGTTCAAAGAGCATTGCAGGTTTGTTGTTTTCCTATTTTTTCATGTCAATCTCTAAATTCTGATTCTTTTTTTTATTTATTAACTTTATTTTGGTTTCTTATGTATTGGTTTGTATATCAGCAACAATCTACAACAATATCACCTACACCTACAATCTAGAGCAATGAAACTTTAAAGCAAAATCCAACCAATTTATTAGCAGATGCATATTAAACTTTAAAGCAAAATCCAACCAATCATATCCATTTATTAGCAGATGCATATTAAACTTTAAAGCAAAATGCAACCAATCATATCCATGTATGACTTCCATAAAGTAAAATGTCCTTTATGTTGTGCGTAGAACTCTTCTTGTACATCACATTCTTTTGTTTCTTCTAAAATAGTCATCTACACAAAGAAGTACAAAATAAATAAATATATAATTGATAAAAAAAACATGTTATACAAAATTGAAATGTTATACAAAACATATGTAGTACGTACTATCTTCATTCACCAACTTTAATAATTGTATATTAGTTTAAATGAATGATTATAATTTGACAAGAAAAATGTGGAATTCTTCCTAATAAAATCACAATTATTCAGGTAGATACTTTTCAACTAAGTTAATAACATCATACCATTTCCAACTATGATATTTTAATTAATAAGTTACCTCTATTAGGATTAAATGGTTGACTGGGTGGTTGTGTCTCATCCTCATCTTCACTATCCTCTATACTAGGTGGCATGGAATGACGATTAATACTATCCATCCATTGTCGTATCATTGCATTGTTTTGCTCAAAGAGTTTCTCAATATTTAAAACTTTAACTCGAAGCTCATCTCTTTCATTTTTAACTTCTTCCAAATCTTTTTTTAGTTCATCAAGTTCTTGTCTTTGTACCCACTCATTTGAGGAAGAAGAAGAGCCACGATAATATGGTCTTCCTGCCACTACAGAAGATTCCATTCCAAGGCCATATATTTTTCCTCCTTTGGTTCTAGCTACATCACACCACACATCTAACTCATTTGGTGGAGTAGTTCCTTCTTCATTTGCTTTTTGGGTTAATTCTTCAAATATGCGTGAAAATTTTTCCTATCAACACCAATTTAAGAATAGTTATGACTTCAAAAATAAAAACAAACTAAAAGTAGAATATTAAAGTTTATTACATTAACTTGTTCTGATTTCCTGTCCACCCATGACTTGTCCTTCCGTTGGTGTGTGCGACGAAACAATTCAGATATAGTAGGAGGAATTCCATTCAACTTTGTCTAAAATAAAGAGAATGAACATAAGCTAGTGTCACAACCTTTCTATTGACTCCACTACAAATGCTTCCATCCTAATTCCCAAATAAAGATAGCCATAAAATGTGACAACCAAACAGGGCAAATATCACACATGAGTACAAATAAAATATGATGCATTACAAGGTACACACGAGTACATACCTAATACCTTATATCTTTTCCAAATTTCACAATCAATCAAGCATTCCAATAAACTGATATCAAATTTACAAATCTACACAAATAATATGATAAAAAATATATAAATTCAGATTTAAGATCAATATTATTTTTAAAAAAGTTTGTGTAAGATAAACTTGTCATATTATATCTATGCTGAGATGTGCTAATAGAGCCACCAGTGTGGAGAGACCCTCCAAAACCCACAGTCAGATGCCCGATTTGCTTTTGCAATTGCACTCCTAGTTTTGTATTTTGTAGATGCCCAATGCTCACATAATCTATCCCATGTACTATCTCCAATCCAATTTGGTTTATTCAGACTTTGTCGAGCCTTACTTAGATTATTTTTCATGACTACAGCTCCTCGCATTTCAAAATTCTTTCTTGCCCACCTATGATCCGGAGGACAAATAGAAAACTTTCTCTATATATAAAACCAAATAAGTTTGTTATTAGTAATCTAGATGACATCAAAAATAAATAAAATTATTTACATATGAAACTCACCAAAAACTCTCCAAACCATAAGTCTCTTGTGCTAATTGGAATTTGCTTCCATGATGGCCATGGATTAGTATAATGACTTTTGAGGATATCTCCAATTCCATTAGCTGCAGGGTGGGAAGGTAAGAATCTGCAAAAACATTGCATGTGCATGGTCATTGGATTTACAATATACTTAAATAAGCAAAAGAAGAAGAAAATATATACCCTTGCCCATCAAGGTTTAAGATTGGCTTGCCACTATTTTCTTGTGTCTCTAGTGCAACATCAGTTGATCTAGTTGATCTAGGATTAGGTCCTTCATCTGAATTGGGTTGTGAATTAGATGATTGTACTCCTTGTACCAAAGGTGAAGTTGGGAATTGAGATGTTCTAGGTGATGGATCAATAGGTGGAAAAGCATAAGGTAGAGAAGTAAAATCATTTCGACCAACTCTAGTTCTCATTGATTGCACATGAGACTCAAAGTAATATGAACAGAAATGAGAAGTCTCTAGGCATAAATATGCTTCACAAATTGATCCTTCAACATGTGATTTGTTTTTAACCATCCGTTTCAATCTATTCAAATACCTATACAAACATCAATTGTTAACTACTAACTAATGATAAATAAGAATAAAGTTTTGCGCATTCAATGAGTAAACAATTACCTCTCAAACGGATACATCCATCGATATTGAACTGGACCTCCCACCTTTGCTTCATAAGGTAAATGAATAGGAAGATGCTCCATGGAATTAAAGAATGCAGGTGGAAAGATTCGTTCCAACTTACATGTTGTAATAATAATGTTTTGTTCCATCAACAACAAATCATCCACTCGTAATATTGTTGAGCATAAATCCTTAAAAAATTTACTTAACTCAGTTATAGGATTCCATACTTGATGTGGTAATGCACGAAAAGCAATGGGTAATAGTCTCTCCATGAAAACATGAGAATCATGACTTTTCATTCCATAAAACTTCCTTTCTTCTATGTTTACACATCTATGCAAATTTGAGGCATAACCGTCGGCATTTTCAACTCACTAACCCATTTGCAGACAACCTTTTTTTGTTCATTGGATAAAACAAACTTTGCCTTAGGCTTTAACTCTTTTCCATTAGTCTGCACTTGTAGTTCTAATTCACGTCGTCGACAATGTTCTTTCAAATCTTTTCTTGCATTGACATCATCTTTAGTCTTATCTTTGATGTCCATCACTGTATTAAAGACATTATCAAACACATTTTTCTCTATATGCATCACATCAAGATTATGTCTTATTAAGTTGGTTTTCCAATAAGGCAACTCCCAAAAGATGCTTTGCTTTGTCCAATTATGAGACACACCATGTCCATCACATATACAAGGACTAACCTCAGTTATTTTTGGGAGACAGCAAACTTGTTCCCATACTTCATTCCCACTTAAAAATTGAGGTGGTTGAGATTTTTCTATCCGATTCTTGTAAAATGCATCCTTATTTCTCCTAAAAGAATGGTTCATAGGCAAAAATTGACGATGTGAATCAAACCAAGAAAATTTACTTCCGTTTTTCAATCTGGAAGCCTTTGATTAATTCATACAATACGGACATGCTAATCTACCATATGTACTCCAACCTGACAATATTGCATTTGCAGGAAAATCACTAATAGTCCACATTAGTGTAGCTTTCATTACAAAATTTTGTTTTCTCGAAATGTCATATGTCACCACTCCTTCATTCCATAACTGTTTTAGCTCATCTATCAACGGTTGCAAATACACATCTATCTTACCTTTGGGATTATGTGGTCCAGGAATGAGCAATGTCAAAAACATATAAGGAGTTGTCATGCATAGTTCTGGAGGAAGATTATAAGGTGTGACAATTACTGGCCAGCAAGAATAATGTTTAGCAGTATTAGTAAAAGGCGCAAAACCATCGGCACTTAAACCTAACCTCACATTTCTTGGTTCACTTGCAAATTCAGGATACATTTGATCAAAGTGCTTCCAGGCTTCACCATCTGATGGATGACACAACGCCCCTGGTTCTCGTCTATTCTCATAATGCCACCTCATATGTGGAGCAGAACTCATTGAGGCATATAATCTCTTAAGCCTAGGAATGAGTGGTAAGTAATGCATTCTCTTCACAGGTACTTCTTTGTGTTTACCCATGCCAACCTTTTTTTTTTGGTAACGAGGTTTATGACAAAACTTGCATTCTTTTAATTGCATATCTTCAAAAGTGTAGAACAACATACAGCCATCGATACAACAATCAATCTTTTTCGCTGTCAAACCAAGTTTTGAAACTATTTTTTTTGTCCTATAATAATCTTTCGGGGTAAGATTATTTGGAGGATGTGTCTCCTTCATAAGAGCCACTGTTTGATCAAAAGATCGTTGGGACATGTTTCCCTCTGATTTAATTGCCAACAATCTAACAGCAACAGATAATTCAATATGATCATTACATCCTGGCCATAATGGCTTTTGAGCTGCATGTAGCAAGTCATAAAACTTTTGGGCATCTATATTTGGAGACTCATCCATTTCTTGATCATAATGGGTTTCATAGTCTGAACCAACAGCATCATAAAGATCAGGTATGAATCCTTTCTTATAAAGATGAACTTTAAGTTCTTCAGAAGTTAAGAACTTCAAGTTTTTGCATTTAAAACAAGGACATCTCATTTTTTCCATTTGATAAGTTTGTTTGTAAGGATGCATAAGACACAAATTCATCTACCCCATTTAAAAATGGGTCAGTATATCCCCTTCGATCTGAATTTAGTCTATCATACATCCAACCACGACTTTGCCGAATATCCATCTTCTGTTGTGTATAAAAATATTATAATTAATATAAATCTAAAAAGGTAAGCAATGTTTTAATCTTTTTTTTTATTTCTTTCTTATTCCAAAGATACCTCTCTCTCTGTTATTATTATTATTATTATTATTATTATTATTATTATTATTATTATTATTATTAGATTAGTTTGTTTTTGTTTTCTTTCGAGAGTTGTTCTAAAGTGAATTCTTTTGTTCTCACGTATGCATGAGTCCAAATTCATACAGAGGAATAGGAGGAATAGGAGGAATATGACATAACATTGAAAGTATGGTTTTTGAAGGTACAAAGGATTTTATGACTACGTAAAATTGAAAGGAGTGGATGTTGGTCAACCGGTGGGGTTTGATGTTCTTGTTGATGGAACAGTTCTGAGGGGTGCATTCTTCTAATTGACCAATCTTAGTACATGATTACACTATCTTTGATACTTTATCAAAGATGATAGAATCGTGTCTTTTGTTTTTTAATAGAATTGAACCCAATCAACAATGTTTTTGCTTTTTATAAAGGGTCTGGACTATCGAGCTCTACAGCTTTTGTTGTTCTTCAACAATTGCTATTTTGGTTGCTTTTGGTGTGAACTTCCCAAAGGTATTCCATCTATGTGGGAATGCAGTTTTAGTTTGTTTTAAATAATCTGAATGGAAGCAACATGGTCTATAAGTTATAACCATTTACCATACTGAATGAATTGTGTGATTTATGTAACTAACCTTACCTAATGGGGTATGACTTTTGTTGTTGAAGCAACATTGGTCAATATGTATAAAGTGTGGCACTATGAAATCTTTTTGATTTAACCCCTGAGATAATGTTTTTCTTCATAATAATTATTTGGATACTGATATATGACAGTTCTAATGGATCTTCACATGTTCAGCTAACAAAAATGATACCTGAACTTTTAAAGTTCTTGTAAGCCAAAATCTTATATATCTTAAGCCACCACACAATTTCCCTCTTGAAAAAAAATTATAGAATGCCTGGTGGCCTTCTGTATTAGTTACAGAAGGTTTTTTTGGCATTAATAAATCCACTTAAGCCACCACACTAAAGGTTAGGAACAATAGAAATTGTATACAGAAAGTTAGGAACAATTAAGAACAACTAAAGGTTTCAATTATAAGAAAAATTAGACATCAATCCAAACAACTTTCAAAACTCAAAAGTTGAAAAAACAGCTCAATAACAATTTAAAATTAACAAAAGAATATCAATAATTTCAATAATACAAGTAAACAACTATAATAGACATTGTGATATATCATAAATAGTGAGAAAAATATCTCAAGCACCACAAATAATGAAAACAATACCTCGACGAAATTGAGGAGATAGTGGCTATGGCACAAGCATCAGAGCGAGACTATAGAAGAATCCACGATTATCATCACATAAGAAGAAAAAAAAGATAAAAAAAGAAAAAATTACCTCAAGGTGAATATGTATCTAGTAATATGGGTAGAAAAAGAAGAAGAAAGAATATAGGGTTTGAGCATTGAGTAAAATGAGTAGAAATAGAAGAAGAAACAATACCTGAGGGTTTGAGCAAATAAGTTGAGTTGTGTAGACTGAAAAATGAGTGAATGAAGTGTGAGTAAACTTATGGATTATAAATGTGAAACAGAAAAGCAAAATGAGAATTAGAAATGAATATTACAGAGAGAGAGAGAGAAATCAGAATGGAGAAGACTCATACCACACAAGCATCTTTTCTGTTACTCCACGTTACTTTTGAATAAGACACTCCATTCTCATGCTTTTTCTTGTGTCCTCATTGGCCACGTGAACACTCCACACGTGGACAAGAAGAAATCGTGAATGCTCCTATACTTGACGCATAATTTTGTGCTTCTAATGGAGGCTCTTCATCTCAGCACGCAAATATTTCATTTCTTTTCAAAAAATAAAAATATAATATAATTGTATAAGTATATATTTGTGCGATACATTTTAGAAAATAATTGTTTAACCATCTGTCTCTAAAACAATGTTTATGTCCATCCAAATTTGAGTTTTTATAAGTTTAAAATTCAAAATTTAAAGATTAGGCTTTGATAGTTATAAAATTAAATTGATATTTATTTTATTTTTAAATAAAGTAAAAAAATATAATATAATTGAATATTTATGATGTTTATTAATATTTTAAATTTTTATTAATTGATTGACTAAACTAAAATATTATATATATATATATATAATATTAATATTTTAATTTTATTAATTTTAATTATATACTTAAAAAAAACAGTTTGTAAAATGAGTTAACAATAACAAAAAAAATATCAATGTTTAGTGTATTTTAATTAGAGTCCAATTTATCTAAAATAAATTAACAATGAGTGAAACATTAGTTGCATATTATATTTCTAAAAATTAACAATGGACTTTGATAAGTTAGACAAAATATAAGTTTAAAGATTGGGCTTTGATAATTATCAAAAAGATTGATATTTATTTTAAAAAAATATTAAAAATAAAGTAAAATAGAATATAATAAATTTATATTAATTGATTGACTCAATTAAAATATTATATACATAATATTAATATTTTAATTTTTATTAATTTTAATTATATACTTAAATAATTTCTAAAATGAGTTAATAGTAATTAAAAAGTTAATTATTATTATTTGCACAAGGGTTGTAACACTAGAATCTTGCATTTTGATATTAAATCTCACAATATACTGCTAGATGAGTTGTTTGGCCCCAAAATATCAGATTTTGGGCTTGCTAAAATATGTCCAAGAGAAAAAAGTACTATATCAATGCTGGTTGCAAGGGGAACTGTAAGATATATTGCTCCTGAATTGTTCTGCAGAAATTTTGGTGGAGTGTCACATAAATCAGATGTCTATAGTTATGGAATGATGGTCTTGGAAATGCTTGGTGCAAGAGAGATTAATACTAATGGTAGAGTTGATTTTTCAAGTGAAAATTAGTTTCCACATTGGCTTTACAGCCATCTTGAATTAAACCAAGAGTTTCAATTGCGAGGTATTAAAAACCAAAGTGATAAAGAAATGGTGAGAAAAATGACAATAGTGAGTTTGTGGTGCATACAAACCGACCCTTCCAATCGACCTGCAAATTCCACCCAAACCTTTCCTTTCTCCATCCTTGGCATATTCTTCCCCTGAATCACAAACAATAGAGACATCATAGTTATTCACATACAACTTGAAGATGCAATCAATTTCAACAAAGTACAACTGCAGCTACTATCAGTTTTCTGGTGTGTATTGATTATAGTTCATTCATAACTTTTTATTACAATAGGAAAGGAAGGCATGTTCGTATTGCTGCATGCAAATCTCTATTGATTTTCAGGTTATTCAATTGAAATTCATAAATCTCTATGGACATTATGGAATTTATGAGATTATTTTTGTTAATACCTTTGTGCTTTATGCACTAGAAGAAAAATCTTTTCACTCTGTTTTGACAATTCACAAATGACAATTTAAACATAAAAATATATTGAGACTGCAAATTGACAATTCACAAATGTGGAGAGAGAACCACCTTGAGGTGGATATTCAGGTTTGAACATGGGTTCCTCAGGTATCACAGTGTACTGCAATAACTGTTCATAATCGTAAGAACAAAAAGATAGATAAAAGTTAGTCAATTTGCTATGCTACTGTTGTATCATTCGTAAATGATAATGAACAACCGAAACAAAACACTTCTAGGAAAAAAATAGTCATACACAAACTTGGTTAATTTTATTTTGCTTCTTCAAATAATTTATTATGATAGGGCCTATCAGCGGAGCTTCGAGTATCCTCACAAAGAATCTAAATACAAATCCAGTCAAATGTGGAGCTGCAAAAAAATAAATTAAACAAAAGAGGAAAAAAATTGAATCAAAATTGATTATAGAAGAAGCAAGGCAGTGAAGTTACCTTGCACAACCTCTCGTTCGTACTTGATGGAGGACAAGTCAACATCCTCCGCCGGCGTCATCGCACGCTTTTTCCCCATTGTTGAAGATCTCGAAACTCGGATGATCCATACCTTTTAGCTTCCTAATTGAATTCGAATTACAAAAAAACAAAAGAAATAAATTCTCAAATCACAGGATGAAGAAAACAGAAAAACCAGAGATAGAAACTACAACAAAGTTAGCGAAGTGCGATGTGAACGATGAACTAAACTATGGTGATAGTAAGCATTTGGTTTCATTTGTTGGGAAGGGAGAGCTAAGTATCAATGATTTTGAGTCCGGCGCTGTCATTGTCATAGCCATTTTGGCAATATATTTCATAAATGCTCTTATCGGAAAAACCACTATATCATTTTCAAACCTGTTTCCTATTGCTAAAACCAACAAACTCTCTGACTATATTGTTCCCTCCATTAAAATCTTCATCTACATTAGCACCCTTTCGTCAGAAAGACTAATGAGTAATACTAATAACAAATATTTTAAATTTAGATTTCGAAATTCCTATGAACTTTGCTAAACTTACTGGATTCAACTCCTATATCCCTTAATCTTCTTCGTCCCAGAAAGTGAGGCTTATGGAGGACACTTGCGTGGCGTTCTTCTTGACAGAGAGGCGGGTCCACGCCACCACCTTGCCGGAGGGGAGGTGTTTGAGTTCGACGGTCGCGGCCACCACACCGATGAGGCTGACAGAGTTGCAGAGCTCCTTTAATGAGTGAGTGTCTCAGAGAGACCCTTTTCTCTACACGTAAATGTCTCAGACCTCCCTCCGCTCATCAAAAAAACTTGTCTTCATAAACACTCTACACGTGGATAAGAAGAAATCGTGGAGGCTTTTCGTCTCCACAAGTAAATGTTTCATTTTTTTTAATTTTTTTTAAGATTCCTTTATTAATTATTATTAAGTAGCTCTTAAAGTCCATTTCTTGCATGGCAGATATTTGATACTTTAGGTGTTTCTAATTTAAATATTATATACATAATATTAATATTTTAATTTTTATTAATTTTAATTATATACTTAAATAATTTTTAAAATGAGTTAACAGTAATTACAAAAATAATTTTTATTATTTTTTAATTAGAGTTCGATTTATCTAAAATAAATTAATATTAATTAAAAAATCAGTTGTATATTATATTTCTATCATAGATCGATATATTGGTCTCTAATATAGTATAATTAGACACTAAAAAAGTATCTAAAATGAGTTAATAGTGACTAAAAAATCAATTATTATTTACTCGTGTATTTTAATTAGAGACCAAATATTTTTGTGTCAAATAATTTAATAGTGACTGAAATATTAGTTTCTTGTTATATTTTTATTAGAGACTAATATATTGGTTTCTAATATAGAACAATTAGATACTAAAAAAATGGTATCTAAATTTGAGTCAATAGTGATCAAAAAAATAGTCTCTAGTAATATTTAAATTAGAAACTAAAAAATTTAGTCTATAATTTTAGTGCATCTTTAAGACTAAAATATTGGTTTCTAAAGTATTTTAATAGTGACCAAAATTTTTGTCTCTGATTATATTTTAATTAGAGATCAAAAAAGTTGTATCTAATTAAATAAATAATATTTTTAAATTATTAGCTACTAAAAGTTTAGTCTCTAATTACATTAAAAATATTAATGACAATAGAGATTGAATTAGAGACCAACTATAATCAATCTCTAAAATAGTATTTAAATAAGTTGCTAAAATAACTATATAAATTTGGTCTCTAAATTAATCTCTATTTAATTAATTTCTTGTAGTGAAAACAAATAAATATGGTGATAAAGGGTCACCATGACGTAATCCTCTAGTTGGGGAAAAAGAATACAATACTTCATTGTTCCATTTCAAGGAGAGAGTTGTGGCTCTTGTGCTATTCATGATCAAATGAGTAATGGGATTAGGGAAACCAAAATCTGAAAGGGTTAATTGGAGGAAGTCCCAATTAATTTTATCATATGCCTTTTCGAAGTCAATTTTGAAAATGATGTGACCTACCTTGCCCTTCTTCTTATGCATATGATGTATTATTTCTTGAGCAATTTAAAGCATTGTCACTGGTTCCTCTACCTGGTATGAAGCTGCTTTGGAGAGGTCTGATGAATTCATCAAGATATGGTCTAATTCTATGCACCAAGACTTTAGATATTGTTTTGAATAGAACATTGCAGAGGCTTATTGGACGAAAATCCTTAGTGTTGAGGGTGATCCACTTTTGGGATAGGGATAATAAGGGTCTCTGCAAGGGTTGGATTGATATTACTAGTGGAAAATGCTTGAGCAACTAGTTTCCATACATCTTGGCCTGCCATATCCCAAAAGGATTTGAAAAAGATAGGTTGGTAGTGGTCTGGGCTCGGGGCTTTGTAGAAATCCATGGAGAACATTGCTTGTTTAACATCTTCCAAAGTGACAAGTTTGAGTAGGTTATCTTGCATCTGTTGACTTATTTGAGGTATGCTATGTAAAGTAAGGCTTGAAGGGGCATAAGAACTCTAAGATTGAAAGATATTTTTAAAGTAGATAGAGGCTTTCTTTTGGAGAGTCTCTTCATCTGAGCACCAAGTTCCATTTATCATGAGGCTAGCTATTTTATTTTGCGTCTTTTAATAACTGCTTGGGTCTGGAAAAATTTGGTGTTCCTATTACCAAATTTGATCCACTTTTCTCGAGATTTTTGAAACTAAAATAATTCCTCCTAAGTGACGACCTCATCATATTGTGTTTGAAGATCCTTTTCAAGTTGAATTAAGTTGGGTTGGGCATAGATATCAAGTTCTCTATGTACTCTTTTAATTCTAGCTTCAAGTTGCCTTTTCCTTTTGAAAATATTTCCAAAGGTTTCCTCATTGAAATGTAAAGAGTCCTCTCTAACATGGTGCAACTTGGCTAGAATATTCATACTTGGTTTTCCTTAGGCTGCAGACACAATATTATGATATCCAGGATGAGATAACCATGCTGCTTGAAAATGAAAGAGATTCATTTTCTTGCTTCGGGCTTTGCAACAATTGAGGAGGATGGGGTTGTCGTTAGAATTGTGTGGAAGGAGTAGTTCTGCAATGGCATGCGGGAAGGCAAGATGCCAGTCTGTGTTAAGAAGGTATCTATCTACTTTTTTGCAAATATGAAGCCCGTTGGGACCATTTCGACGCCAAGTGAAGGTCCCACCAATGGTTTCTATGTCAATGAGCTCACAAAGATGCAATGCTTTTAAAAAGGAGGATGTCCGAGAGGGGTAGAAATTACCTCCATAGACTTTATAAAATTAAGACTAAAATTATTAAATTAAAAATTTAAACCAAAATTACAAATTAAGTATTATAAAAGATTAAAAATATAATTTAACTGATAATAAAAAACTTTATATAAACTATTCAAATTTTCTACCTCAATGTTCATAGTAAATTGACTATGGGACCCGCTATAGCAGATTCACTTTGATAAAAACTTTCCACAATAATACTATTTCCAAACAGGCAACACTAACATATCCTATATATTAAAAATAATTCAATAAATAAATTCTCAATTTTTTTAAATAAAATAAAATAAATGGAAGGAAGAAAATTAAAATAAGTTTAGTAAAGTTGTCGATCCTTCCTGGCTTCCATTACATGGCCCGTAAAGTGTAGAGTCTGCCGATTTCAAGAAAAGGAAAGGAGACGAAACATTTTGGTGTTCTGACGTCCATTGCCGGGCAGCAAACACCCATCTCCGTCTTTTACGGGAGAGAAAGATACCATTCAAAATTTAAGAGATGGAGAGAGAAATACAGTAGTTACTATCTCGTAATTATTAATTACTCATTCACTTTTCTATACCCCACAATTTTATTAAAAACGGTTAGTGATATTCTATAAAAAAAAACCATCGATCACACTAATAACATAAAGAAATTTTCTCTTTATGTTAAAATTTTGGTAACTAGTAACAAATACATTTATTTTATCAAGAATTGTTGACTTTTTTATTTATTTACGTTAGCATATGAGATGTCAAAATACTAGCATCCAATTACAAAAAGAAAAGGTCAGTAGTGTTTCTCTTCTTTTGGGGTCTATTTAACCCCGTTGTAGTCCCATCTATTCTCTTCCCCCCCCTTTCCTTTCTCTCTCAATCTTTCCAGCTTTTTATTTACCAAACACACTTCCCCTTTCACACCCAACTCTCTCTTCTCTTCTTGTCTTCTCTTCTTCTCTTCTCAACTCCAACCCAACCCACTTCATTAATCACTCCAATTACGCCCACTTGTCCCACTTTGCCACATTGCTACTACTCCTTTAAATCCTCTCCCTGTTTCCTAATGTAATTCCCAAATCACAATCATTTTGCTTCAGGTTCCAGTGACATATAAAGCTTAACCGCCTCCAAATTCAGTTCTTTCCGTGCCTCCCACTGCCACCACCACCCTTGATCTGCATATGGAAAACCAGTTCTTTCTAAATGCTGGGGTGTCACCAACACCACACCCCCTTCACTTTGAGCCTTCACCACCTCCTTCTTCAATGCCCTCTTGGCAATCACTCACACCAACCATGGGAATTCAACCAACAGTTCTGAATTGTGCCTCTGAGCAAACCCAAGATTGCTTTTACAGCCCCAATTGGGACAAGTCAACAGATCATGACCATCGTCATCACTTTGATTCCTCAGCACTCAGTTCAATGGCCTCATCTCCTGCAGCAGCAGCAACATCCAACCCTAACATGTCCAATGAGAATTTCATCATCAGGGAATTGGTGGGGAAATTGGGAGCTATTGGAAGCTCTGATGAGATCCCACAACACTCCCCTCACCCTTTGGTTGTGGCATCTTCTTACATGAATAATGGAAATAGCAGCACCAACACTTCATGCTACACCACTCCTTTGAGTTCCCCACCAAAGGGGAACATTGTCCACAGTTTGGTGAATGAGAAGTTGGCAAATTTGGGAGGCAAGTCAATGGCTTTGAATTCCAGTGTAGCCGAATTCTCAGCTGATCCTGGCTTTGCTGAGAGGGCTGCAAAGTTTTCTTGCTTTGGCAGCAGGAGTTTCAATGATAGGAGTGCCCAATTCGGGGTGAACAATGGTGAATTGGCTCAGAGATCTGCACCAGTAATGGAACACGGCAAGTTACCAAGAGTCTCAAGTAGTCCATTGCTGAAAACACTTGGATCTCAAATTGGTACCCCGGAGAACAAGAATTCTGCATTTCAGGAGCAGGACAAAATGGAAGTGACCAATTCTCAAGAGGAATCTACAATTTCTGAGCAAACCCCAAATGGAGAAACTGGGGGGAAAACTTCTCAAGATATGAATTCCAGGAAAAGAAAAGCTTCTTCCAAAGGAAAAGCCAAAGAAACTTCAAACTCTACTAATCCCACTAAGGTAACCAAAAAACACTTTTTTAAAAGTCAAACTTCTATTTTGTGATGTTTTTTTGATTCCATAAAAGGTTCTAAATTGTGATTGTGATCGTGATTTTGTCATGTTTCTTATTATTGTGAGAAATTGTGGTCATATACCCAGTTGCGGACTGTTTTTTAAAAACCTTGATTCTGCAAGGCAATTTTGAAATCTCAACTGTGTCCTTTTCAAATCAGGGTGTTGAAGCTAGTGATGATTCAAATTCAAAGCGCTGCAAGACAAATGAGGGTGAAGGAAATGAAAACGGGACAGTGAAAGTTGAGGAAGAGTCTAGAGCAGTGGATGAGAAACAAAAGAAAAGTAACTCAAAACCTCCTGAGCCTCCAAAAGATTACATTCATGTAAGAGCAAGAAGAGGCCAAGCCACTGACAGCCATAGTCTTGCAGAACGTGTAAGAATTAGTGCTTTTGATTTTGGTTCCTATTAATGACACTTACAAAACATGTGTAGCTTTCATGTTGACATTTTATTAACCTTGAAATAGGTACGGAGAGAGAAAATCAGTGAGAGGATGAAGCTGCTCCAAGATCTTGTACCAGGTTGCAACAAGGTGTGTAGAAAAAGTTAAAAATTCAAAGAAGACTGGCTTCTGTTGGTGAATTCGGTACTTTTTTCTGACTTGGGTATGAATTGTTTATTTGTTCCTTTTAGGTCACTGGCAAGGCACTTATGCTAGATGAAATTATAAATTATGTTCAGTCATTGCAACGACAAGTTGAGGTAACCAATCTTAGCCGATAAGCATCTCAATTCTCAAATGATTGTCATCATGTGTTTGTTTGTATTCTTGCTCATTAAGTTATGCCTTTTCTCCCTTATGCCAGTTCCTGTCTATGAAGTTGGCTTCTGTTAACACAAGGATGGATCTTAGTATTGAGAGTCTTACTTCAAAAGATGTAAGTTCCATGACATTAGACAAATAATATATGCTTTGCTTTTTCAACAAAATTGTTACTTTATTTATTTATTTTTTAAAAAATTCCTGAGTTTGGGTTCATTGGCTTTTGATAATTTCAGGTATTTCAATCAAATAATTCTTTGGCAACACACCCAAATCCAATATTCCCATTAGATTCCTCAGCACAAGCCTTTTATGGACACCAGCCTCAGCAAAATCCATTTATCCATAATAACACACCTAACAGAACGGTGTCCCACTGCTCAGTGGACCCATTAGATACTTCTTTGTGCCAAAATCTTGGCATGCTGTTACCTCCCCTAAATGGGTTTAATGAAGGTGGCTCTCAGGTAATAATAAGTTTCTTCTACTTTTCTATACAAATTAATATTCAAAGAAAAAAGGTCCATTACATTACTACAATGTTTTGATTTCTAAATCTCTTTTTATGAGTTTAAAGCATTTTCATGCTGGCATCCAATAGCAAATTGCACTTCAAAAAGTGATACTTATCCTTATTTGCGATTGATTGAAAGTGTAAAAATAAAACAAACAAATTAAACTCTCTTTTTATTCCCCTAACTCGTGTCTAATGATTTTTTAGTTTCCATTAACATTCTGTGAAGATGACCTCCACACAATTGTTCAGATGGGGTTTGGCCAAACTGCTAACAGGAAAACATCAATACAATCCCCGAGTTTCAACGGTAATAAAGCAGAAAAGTCACGCATTATTGACACGTTAATGAAAATATCATTTTCATTAGGCCCAAAAAATTGACATTGATCTTATTACTATTTTTGGTACAAGCAGGTTCAAATAATGCACCACAGATGAAAGTTGAGCTTTGATCAGTGAGGACTCACCTTTCATTACGCCTGAATTGAAGCCCAGAAGATTAGGAAGACTGCTGTATACAACAACAAAAGATTTAATTCAACAACCCATGAATTATTATTAAGCCATTATTACTAGATCTATTCAATAGAACCCTTTTTTGTCTTTTTATTTTCTCAAATTTTTACCCACCCTTCTTCCTTTCTATGATTTCAGTTTCTTGTCTTCTGGGGCAGGTCTTTCTCAATTTTTTACATACAATTTATTCACTGTAAAATCTTAGGACCGATTCTGTATTCCATGGTGCAAATTCTTATTACTATTGTGGCACCAACTGTAAGATATATCGCTAATTAAACAAAGATTTTCTACCAGCTCTCATTGTCTCTCTTTGCCTTATATTAATAAAATTTTAAAAATGATTGTCTTAAAATATGTGTTAAATAATTTGTATATTTTATAGTATAATAGATACTTATTTTTCTAATAAATAAAAAAACTATTGTTTATCCTTAAACATTGGTTAGCGTATGCCCGTTAATAATTCGCACATCACATCAACCCACTATGAATTTTCGTGGGTCTTCACTAAAATTTCGTTAAAGGTCATGTCAATTAATCTCTGCTAAATCGCAAAATCTGGTGGATATGATTTCACTTGTGCTGTAACCAGCTGTATTAATGGGGTCTCCGTTTTGTCTCAAAAGTCTAATTAGAAATGATTTCGACATTTGGTTAACTTGAGCCATGGTCAACCATAATTGTGGCATTTCTTGAGTTTACCCTTTCTTTGATTCACCAAAAAAACAGAAGCTTGCCTGTTTTTACATTTTTAAAAATAATTTTACTATACACGATAAAAAATTCCCGGAGGGTAGCTAGAGGTTAGAATAAGATAGAACCGCCCCTAGCTTGTAAAGAAAATACAATTTTTTAACTAATAATATATGTGAGCATCAAAAGAATCCCAGGTTGGCAGTGGTGAGATTCTGACTAGACCCAATGAATCATAGAGCTTTATAATCTCAACAACTTTTGCTATTAACTTGTGAATAGGAAAAGGAGTTTCTAGTGGAGTTCGAGTTTGGAAAGATGCACTTAAAATATTTGACTAATCTCTTTCTGTGGGGAAAAATCCAGTTTTAGGGTTTAACAAAAGATTTAGAGAAACTATATCTTTTTTATAATCACTGGAGTAATGTTTGAATTTAAGATCCCAAAAGAATTATCTAAATATTTAATTTCACGTTAACTTTTTTTTTAATCTTATCAATGATATTTCTTAGACTATTGGATGATAGATTAATACTAATGCAATGCTATGATTGACGTTAATTTGAAAAAATTTATATACAGAAATCGAATATATATTTTTTCATTAAATAGATAGTTCATGTAGGTATAACATATCTAACCACTTACAATTTTACTATAGTGAATTTAGAGAAACTGTAATTCCATACAAAGTATAAAACATTAAACAACCACAAAGTAAAAAATGAAATTAATCGAATAATAAATAATAATAATAATATTATTAAATTATTATATCAATAATATACCTAAACATTTATAGGTTGCAGTGATATTTTATTGAACAGTCTATTATTGGGCAGTAGATTAAGTGTGATTTAATAATTAGAAAGATGCTTTGAATGTAGTACTGCGAACAGAACAGTTGTGCATCATAATGTAATGATATTTTTATTGTATAATACCAAGTTTCTTGTTTCTAAAGAAGATAAAGAAATGGAAATAGAAAAATGTTAGTCTGACAGTGTTGTCTCCAAAAGCTACAAAACGCCCAATCATATTACGACGTGTCTAGGGATTGATTCTTTGATTATTTTATTATTTTCCTCGACTGTCCATGATGTTTTATTCTTCTTTTGAGTACTTGTATTTTAAATTTATGCCTATCATAATGGTAACTGACGAACCAAACTTCACAAGGAACATCCAGATAGTTGTTAGCAGGTAGCAAAATTTAATCCAATTCAATATTTTCAAAATTGGCCCTTTTGCAATTGAATTTTTTTTTAATTTTTTATTAAACAACTTATTCTATTTAATAAGTTCGGATATAATAAAAATTTATATTATAAAAATTTTGTGTTATAAGTATTTAAAATGTAATAAGTTATTATATTTGTCTATATATATATATATATATATATATATATATATATTTTCCAACTTGTTTATATATTTACTAATATTTCAAAATTTTCAAATATTATTTATTTAATACAAAAATAATTTTATTAGAGTCATTCAATATCAAATATATAGGAAGAACAACTCTTTAATTTAAGTGAAATGGAACTTAATTTTTTTTAATAAAGTCTTATATTTAAATATTGTAGATATGAATAATATGGTCGAGAGATAAGCCTCTACTAAAAATTAAAAATGATTTGTCAAATTTCTTTAATAAAAATTAATTATCAATAAAATTGATCAATATTTTATAATAATAAAATAATTAAAAAAAATCATGTAGATGTGATGATATAAGTCAGTACAATATTTTTTTCATTTAATTGAGATGTGATTTTTAATAATTCTTTATTTTTATATTGAGTAATTTTTTGTGATCATAAAATTTGTCATATGAAATTTTATAGACTTATACTAAGTGTTATCGTAAATATTTTTTATACAAACAAAAATATAATTAAAAGACTTTAAAATGTTTTTTGTCTTTACAGAATTAGTTAATTTTGATTTTAGTTTTTGTAATCTTTTTTTACTTTTATTTCTCTAAAATTGAAACAATTTTTTTTAATTAGTACGTTAATTAAAAGATTAGGCAAACATCCTAATTATTACACACTATTGTTGGTGATTTTATGTCGTTAACACTTCTAAAAATTCGTATAGACTCTTCAAATAATTATTATTCGTCTACATTAAAAATAATCATTAGAGACTAAAATTAGTGGCTATAAATTTAAGAGATATAAAAATTAAAGAAAAATATATTACTAGTATCAAACCAAAATTTATTTATTTTACGAGGACCAAAAATAATATTTAGAAAATTTAGAAAAATGAAAAACAAAAGAAAAAAATTACTGGAACCAAATCAAAACTCATTAATTTTATAGAGACTAAAAACATATTTAAGTCAAATAAAAATATAAAAAGAAATTAAATAATTTTTAAAATGATTATACATGACAATAATATTGCAAAAATTTTTTAAAAAATACTACTCCCATTCACCTAATTTTAGTTTATAAAAAATAAAATTATTAATAAAATATTAGAAATCAAGTATACATATAACCATGATTAAAAATTACGAACCATAAATTCTGAAAACTAAAAAATTCCATGTATTTTATAAAATCATGAATAAATAATTATTGTATAAATATTAATAATAAAATTGTTACAGATGTGCTATTTTAGAGAAAGAAAAAGTTTATGAGTTTTTCTTTATAATAGGAAAAATGTGAATTTTGGGAGGGAGAGATAAAAATAATTGGAGGAGAAGAGAAAAAAAATAAAAAGGAATAAAAATTTTAGGAGGAAGAAATGAAAACCTTTGAATGGAGTAATGAAAATAAATAAATATATATATATATATATATATATATAACTGATTTTGGGTAAAAGAATAAAAAAAATAAAAATAAAATGTATTTATGTTAGTGAAGTATTTTCAAATAAGTTCCTAAATAAATTAAGTAATAAATTATACTAGATAATTTATTAAAATAAACTTAAAACATCTTATGCATTGATTAAAAAATATTTTATAAATTTGTCTGCATATTATCGCAAAAACTTATAGAATAAAATAAATATAAATAAATTATCCATAAATTCTTTTATTAGAACCTAATTTTAATAGTCCTCTATGTATTATAAATTAATCTATTTCTTAAAGATGCTTTAAAAATATTCTTTATAAGATACAATTCTACATAAAGAATTGTCCAATATCACAGCTAGTTTTTCTTCTACTTAAGAATTTGTTTAAATAAGTTTTTTTATAATCAAATATAATATAGTTGTGATATCTTGGACTCGTCTTGTTGTTATTTTTTCATGTATTTATGAAGATAAATATTGTTCTATGGTCATAGAAGATAAAATTTGAATTATTTGTAGCTGGAAGTTTGACCTTGGGGATTTAAATGAGTAAGGAATAAAGGTGACATATTTTCTTGTTAGTTAAAGTGAAATATCTTTTGTTGGTTGATATTATGATGATGCTCATTTATCCTTACTAGTCACTACAAGTATAATTCAAATTTTATTGTATCATGAAAATCTAATATATGATCTGTATATATATATTTATATATATATATATATGTGTTTAATATTGATTATAAATAATTCTAATTCTTTTTGAATTATTGTATTTATTGAATATTGTTCTCACTCCTCTCTTTTCTTTGTTTTTAAAATTAAATATATTATAAAATAGATGGATCTACTTGGGATTCCAGATCATTTTGCAGTTGTTATTACTGTTGTCCTACTTGGAAAAAAATTAGAATATGGAGGCTATTCGATGGATCTGTTATAATTTTATTTGCCAACCATATTATTTCAATTGTAATTTTCTTTCCACTATCAATGTAAATATTATAGTAGAAGTGGAAGAAAGAAATAATGTGTAAAATAGTACATTATTGTAAATATTTTAGAACGGTATGTCATGTAATAAGTTCACAAAATATTCTTTTTCTTTTTCTTTATCTTCATTAAAAAAATATTGTTAATGATATAATTGCGAAAATATTATATAAGAAAATATATAATTATTATTATATAAATCGGGCGTTACATTAAGTAGTATCAGAGCAGGTCGATTCAATCGGCCGTGAGTATTGAGTTTACTATGCTTGTTTAGTAGATGAAGTTTGTAGCGATTGAATCCAAGGAGGTTGTATGCCAAGAATTGGAGTTTTGAATGTTCTTGACGAAAGGCTAAAGTGTGCATCTCTGTTAGTTTTTTATTACATGATTTGGAAGTTATAAATTATTCCTAACTAGAAGGCTCTGCCACCTTTACTGGAATGAATTTATATTTTCTTTATTACTTTTAATTTTTTTTTAATATGATTTTTGAGTTTTGATGCTTACATGTTAACTTTTATGGTTAGGTTACATGAGGATTCAATTTCAGCTTCTAAATCCTTTGTGCTAAATATGTGAGTTGTTTTGGTTTAGAATTGTAGGAGAAAGCTTAAATAATGGTTCCGAAGTATTTTAAGGCATTTTTGTGGCCTTAGACTTTGGTGCGCTCTTTTAGTGATTAGTACAGGGAATGTTTTAGCTGCAGTTTTGTTGCGCCAGTACAAGTATTTTTTTTTATTGACAAAATTGGATTTTATGATCTTCATAAAAGTTGTA